TATTGGTTTTCCTCAGAACCGAAATTATCTAGGTATTCTTGAAGCCATCATCAAATTTGACCAATTTGTAAGAGAGCATATTAAACATTATGGAAACAAAGGGAAAGGTCACCCATCCTACTTGTCAAAAACAAACTGTGATGAGTTCATTGAGCTCATAAGGTTTTGGAATTCATTGTAACCAGGGCCGGCTTTAAGCCGATTTGGCCGATTCCCCGGAATGGGGCCCCACGCCTAAGAGGGATCCGCAACGTCCAGGGCTGCCGGCGGAACGGGGAAAAAAAAAGCTGCATCCTGCTTTTCTCCCCTCCCTCCAGCACTTGTGCTGCCTTACAGCTGATCAGCGCAAGCCTGGTAGGGAGTGGGGAGGAGGAGGAATGAGGCGTGCTTGGGGAAGAGGCGGGGCCAGGGTGGGGATTTGGGGAGGGATCCAATGGGGCGGTGAGGGGGCGGGGCTGGGGACGGGGCCAGGGCGGGGATTTGGAGAGGGATCCAATGGGGAAGGGAGGGGGCGGAGTCGGGGTGGGGCCGGGACGGAGTTGGGGTGGCTCAAGACAATTCGTGTCCTGGCGTAGGGCCCCGCACCTGCTAAAGCTGGCCCTGATTGTAACTGAAGTCAAACAGGGAAAATACTACTCTTTGATAGTAGATTCAACTCCTGATATCGCCCATGAAAGTCAGTTATCTGTCATTTTATGCTACTGCTTACATGGTGCCATAAGAGAGGACTTAATTGGGTTTATACCAACTGAAAGCCAGATGGGCAAGTCATTTTTCCAGACCATGAACAGTTTATTGGATGCAAATGACAATGATATTGAAAACTGCAGAGATCAATCATACAATAACAAAAGTAACATGTCTGAAAAGTATGAAGATCTTCAAGCTTATATCAAAAAAGAGTAAACCCACTAGCTGTGTAGGTGCCATGCACAGCTCTTCTCTGAACTTAGCTGGGACTTGCAGTATTGATTGTTGCATGGAAGACATAAATGTTTCAGTTTTGTTCAGAAACTGTATCTTTTTTGTGTTGTTGCCCAGGCATGGAAGCTTCTGCAAAACAATCTTCTCAAAAGGAAACAAGAACCTCTCCTTGTCCTAAAAACCCTGTGTGACAGGGTCAGGCCAAATGGATACAGGAGAGTGATCCTGTTGGTAGCCAGGAAGTGGGCGGGCAGAGCCCACTGCTAAAGGACCTCCTCGCAGCCTAAGGGGAGGATCCACAGGTCCGTGATACCAAATAACTGCGGGGAACAACTAATGAGATAACAGGAATGGGAGTGAGATCACAGGGCTAAACAAGAGTGATAGAAGGTAGAAATATTAGCCCCAGATTAAGCAAGTCCCTTTTCCCTGAGAAAGATAATGGGCTCTTCCAGAACAACCAGAAAGTTGCTGGAACCAATTAAGGCAGGAAGGCTAATTAGGATACCTGGAGCCAATTAAGAAGCTACTAGAATCAATTAGGACAGGCAGGCTAATTAGGGCACCTGGTTTTAAAAAGGACTCCACTTCAGTTAGTGAGGTGCATGCGAGGAGCTGGGAGCAAGAGGCGCCCAAGGAGCTGAGAGTGAGAAGGTGTGCTGCTGGAGGACTGAGGAATAAAAGAATACAGGAGGAAGGTCCTGTGGTGAGGATAAAGAAGGTGTTGGGAGGAGGACACGGGGAAGTAGCCCGGGGAATTGTAGCTGTCACACAGCTGTTACAGGAGACATTGTAGACAGCTGCAATCCACAGGGCCCTGGGCTGGAACTCATAGTAGAGGGCTGGGCTGGGTTCCCCCCAACTCCCTATTTGATACTGTGGGTCCCACCAGAGGGGAAGGTCTCTGGCCTGTCCCTCGACCCACTAGGTGGATCAGCAGAGACTGCGGGGATTGTTCTCCTCCTTTTCCCCATGCTGGCCAGTGATGAGGTTAGCTGAGTGAATGGCAGTTTTGAGCCACTGGCAAAAGTGGCCAAACTGAGGGCTGCCGTGAATCTCTGAGGCAAGCAAATCCGCCAATAAGCGAAGGACCCACCCAGGCAGAGGAGGAACTTTGTCACACCTGTCAGATATGAGATGGTTCTGTCATGCTGAATGTTGTAAAACAATTGTAGTGAAATATGAAGGCATTCAAAGTTGTTTGAAAGAAATGATGGACAATGCTGAGGAAAGTGTTGAAACTCAGAGGAAAGCACAATTGTACAAGAAAGCGTGCCGCCTGGAAACTGCTTGTATTAGTATCTTATGGAACGTTATACAAGAAAGGTTTGACAAAACTAGTGTACAGCTTCAAAAGCCAGGTCTGAATCTTGTTGTTGCTGTTAATTTTCTGACTTCTTTGCAAGCATTTGTCACAAGCTTACAGTGTCATTTTGATGATTTTGAGGCGCAAGCAAAACAATTGGGAGGTTATGCTGATGAGTCCAACAATGAAGTACACAAACATACTGTAAAGCAAAAATTTCCTGATGGCAGAAGTGACACTGCTTTGAGGGAAAGGGAAATTTGAGGTTGACTGCTTTTATGTTATCCTCCATAAGCTAAGTTCAGAACTAAAAAGAAGTTAATGGTACACTAATTATCCACAAGGTTCGGTTTGCTTACTTTTCTTGATCAAATAAGCGAAGTGAAGGGGAGATGAAAACAAGCACTCACACATTGCTCAATGCTTACTTGAATGATCTAGAACCTCAGCTTTTCGCCAAAATGTATCAATTTTCAGAATTTATAAGATGCTGTGACATGCAGGATAAAAGTGTTACTGGAATCACCACATTTTTGCATGACAAATATCTGAGCCATGTTTTCCTGAATATTTATATTGCGTGGAGACTGCATTTGACTGTACCCATTGTCAATTGTGAAGCAGAGTGATCATTGTCTCAGCTTGCCTTAAAAAAAGTTGTCTTCAGTCAAGTATGGCAGAAACAAAGTTTAATGCTCTTGCTATTATGTCAATTGAATGGGATTTATTTCAAACACTGTCATTTCAAGATACAATAACTGAATTTACAGCACTTAAAATTTGCAAGATGCCAGTTTAAATATGAAGCATTTTATTTGACTTTTAATGTTCTATATTTTTATGTTTATCCAGGCAGTTTATTCTGTTAATTGTCTTTGATTTTCTTTTCATGATTATTCAGTAATATACATGATTTGTTGATTGTCATAAGCAGGGTACTTTTTTGCTTTTATTAATACTGTGTTGATGAAAAGGGGGCCTCCACTCATTAATCTGGCCAATAGGAGAGTTGGGTTTTATTCTTGGCTCTGACACTAACTTGTGTGAATGTTGGCAAGTCATTACACCTTTCTTGGTCCTTCTCTTCCACTTTTTTCCTGTTTTGTTTATTTAGATTGCAAGCTCTTTGAGGGAGACACTGTTTCTTACTGTGTCAGTACAAAGTGATGGGGATTCAATCTTGATTATGCCTCTTCTCACTACTGGAATACAACCAAATATTATGATGAGTATTATGATTATTAATTTCCAGGAAAAGTATCTGTGTATATGAAGTACTACATGCAATTGTTCATTATGATATTAACATGATTTTATTTGAAGAACATAATTTTATGATCTTGTGTAAGACTGAGAATTAGGCTATGTTTATACCCTAGCTATGTATCTAATATTAGGGGTATAGAGATATATCTAGTTAGGGGTATAGAGATTATTATTTGTATGATATTGATGTATCATACAATTTTCAAAAGAGTCTACATGACTTGTTAAAGTTTCTTTCGTTTGTAGTTTTGTATGATTTTGAAAACAACCAGAATTTGGCTAGTCTTTGTACAAATAAGAGGGAAAGTTTTATAGACAGTTATTAGATTAAGTTATTTGATGGATGGCCTGAGACTCCAAAGTGGAATGATATAGAGGAGTCTTCAGTTGGCTACTTAGGTCAGCTTTAAATCTGCTTTGTATGGCTAGAGTGTTGCCAAGCAGACTTAGCATGTGTCAGGATCACCAGCTGTAGGCCTCCATATTCAGAGCACCTGGCAGTGGCACTCCACCCTCTTTGCCATCAAAGAGCAGCCTTGAAAAAAGGATCACATATGCAGCCTAAAATAGCAATCTCCAGGGCAAGCTGTAAAAGTCTTCTAAGAAACAATATATTCCCACAGAGCAGGAGAGAGTGTGCGTGTACAGACGTGCAGACATGGGCAATGGCAAAAAAGAGAAAAGAATTCCTATAGTTCTGTCACTCTCACAGGCAGCTTTCTTACAACTGAACATCCCAAAGACAAAAGAACCACCTACACCTCTCCTCATGAAGAAAATTTCACAACACAAAATACCCCTCCTCATAGGTCTCTCTCCACACAGGTTATTGATCTTTCCCTCCCTTTCTAAATTCACAAGATCCCAGTACCTTTCACTAGCACTCTCACTCTCAGAGGGATACCAATTCATATCCTATTCCCTTGTGAGAGAAACAGAAATGCTGATCGAGGGTGTTGTCAGATGCTACCGGTGTGGTGCTCTGCTTTCTCCTATGTTGATATCACTCGGCTGCGTGCGTGTGTTCCCTCTGTGTGCTGTCCCAGCTCTGCAGATAGCTGACACAGCAAACCCGATGAGCTGGGACAGCACACAGAGGGAACACACGCACACAGCCGAGTGATATCAACATAGGAGAAAGCAGAGCACCACACCGGTAGCATCTGACAACAGAGGGATCAGCAATAAGGAGAAAGCAAAAAGGAGGAAAAAAAGAACAAAATACAAACAACCCCTCTGCAAATCCTACAACCGGTTTATCGAAGGCCTGTTCCAAGTATGTGCTCCTTTTAACGCTGATGCTGCAGCCTGATGTGAGGAAGTATCCTTTTAAAGAGACACTCATGTCCTTGGATGACAGTCTTTGCTGGGGGAGCCAAGGGGCCAGAATGGAGCAGCGTTGTAGTAACACCCACCCTCCCTCACAGTCCTGGTTCTGTCCATAATTATTAGTTATACTACAATAGAATTTTTAAGAAAATAATACAAACACATGTTTACTTACTAAGGCATTTTGGTGCAGGAGACCAGCCCGTTTTAGTACATGTGATCAGAGGCCACGTCGTCTCGCTTTCAGATACGTAACCGGCAAGACATCTGTAGTAAATTGACACACCTAACTGTGCTGGAAAGGCTTGTTCTTTGTAACGTTCATAATAATCAGTTAATGCTCCATTTTCTATATGTGGGTAGTCACAGGGTCTCACTTTAAAAAAAGTTTAAAATGTATAATATTACAAGATACATGCAAGAAAAAATGCCCACTTCTGTGGACACTCATTCGAAGAGGTGGAAGGGGAGAAGAGCTCTGCAAGGTTACAATCACAGTTTACCCGAATTGTTCCATTGGAGCACGAGACAGAGCTTTTACCTGGTAGGCAGGGTTTCCAGCCCCCAGAACCCACATGTTGCGTGGGATCTCCTCATGATACAGGGCCATCCACCAGTTGACAAGATAGTGTCATGGAGATGACGGAATTTCCTCCACACAAGACAGGACATGATCCACATACTAAAGATTCCCTTTGTGTACATATCCATGGGGAATTAACTCCATGTTTTCCATGACATCTGGAGTCACATTATCAGAGAATTAATTTATAATACCATTGCTGGGCTCCAAATCCACTTACACCTCTTCCTGTTTTAGACAGCTTTCATTAGTTTGTAATTATCAAAGCCAAATTCTGAAGTCCTTGATAAGTTTTTACTCAGTCCCTACTCAACAAAACTCTCATTGCAGCCACTGGGATTTTACCTGAAGAAAGATTGAGTAAACATTTGAGAAAAACTTGTTGTTTTTTGCACAGGGAAAAGAACTGCCTGGGAGAATCTGTTTTATGCATTGTTGGTGTAGCCATGTCAGTCCCAGGATATTAGAGAGACAAAGTGGGTGAGGTAATATCTTTTATTGGACCAGTTTCTGTTTGTGAGAGAGACAAGCTTTTGAGCTTACACAGAGCTCTTCTTCAGGAAGAGACTGACAGTTCAGAATAAATGAGGAAACAAAAATGGATGGTACAAAACTAGGGCTGTGGTATATGTAAATGACTCAGAATCCAATTATGACAATAGTTTTTTTTCTTTTATACCATTCATACAGTAATGGTATTGTGCGTTGCATGCTATCATTTGGATAGATAAAACACACAGCTACAAATCTTTCCTGTAGGAGGGTGGAATGTAGCACATTTTGTCAAATAAATCATGGTGTATACGTTAGTTGTATAGTTATTTACAGCTCCATTAACTTATACCATATCATCTTATTTTCACAGGTGCTTTAATCTAGTCCAGCAAAGTAAATAAGGAAAGTAAATAAGTGTTATTTACTCCTTCTCATAACACAAGAATTGGGGTCACCAAATGAAATTAAAAGGCAGCAGGCTTAAAATGAACAAAAGGAAGTATTTCTTCACACACCGCACAGTCAACCTGTGGAACTCTTTGCCAGAGGATGTAGTGAAGGCCAAGGTTGTAACAGGGTTCAAGAAGGAACTAGATAAGTTCATGGAGGATAGGTCCATCAATGGCTATTAGCCAGGATGGGCAGGGATGGTGTCCCTAGCCTCTGTTTGCCAGAAGCTGGGAATAGGCAACAGGGCATGGATCACTTGATGATTACCTGTTCTGTTCATGCCCTCTGGGCAGGGCCGCCCAGGGGGGAGGAGGGGGCAAGTGGGGCAATTTGCCCCAGGCCCCGGGCCCCGCAGGGGTCCCCTGAGAATATAGTATTCTATAGTATTGCAACTTTTTTTTTATGGAAATTGCTTTGCCCCACACCCCCTGAATCCTCTGGGCGGCTCTGCCTTTGGGGCACCTGGCATTGGCCACTGTCGGAAGACAGGATACTGTGTTAGATGGACTTTTGGTCTGACCCAGTATGGCCATTCTTATGTTCTTAAACTCTGTAAAAGGAAAAACCCTGCAAGTATACCTGTTTCATTTCTGTTTACATTCTCAACTGCAGAAATTATATAATCATTGTATAATTGTTTGGGCTTTGATATTTTAAAAACATGTTAAAATAAAAGTAACTTACAGACACATCTTGGAACAGGTAACCAGCCATTCTTTGTGCATTCTGCTCTCCTTTCCTTATTGTCCGTTTGAAAGTGAAATCCTGGATTACAGTCTACTCTGACTACTTCCAATTCTCTGAATACTTTCTTTTTGGGGTAGTAGGTTCCATTAGTCACTGTTGGAGGATCACATCTAATTTCTAAACAAAAACAGATGAACAAGTTTAGCAACTGTAAAATGGACTTTAGGCTGAAAGTCCCCCCTTCAATTAAAATTATTTGTATCTCTCTCCTTTTTTTACTAGCTTTACTAGCACTGTCATATTTGAACATCATCTACATAAAATTGGCATGATGAGATTCCTATGAACTTGATGAAGTCTACAGCTCTTTACCCATCTTTAGAGATCAGAGTATTTTCTTGGGGTAGTTTATTTTATTTTGGGGGTGAGAAGGGGTCAGTTGTTGTTATAAGTGTCATTCTGACTATTTTCAGAGTAGCAGCCGTGTTAGTCTGTATCCGCAAAAAGAAGAACAGGAGTACTTGTGGCACCTTAGAGACTACAAATTTATTAGTGCATCCGAAGAAGTGGGCTGTAGTCCACGAAAGCTTATGCTCTAATAAATTTGTTGGTCTCTAAGGTGCCACAAGTACTCCTGTTCTTCTTTATTCTGACTATTGTGGAAAAACTTTACCAAAAAATGAAGCCTTGCAGTGAGACCTAAAGGTGATCACACTGGATTTGTCTAATCCCTTCTGGCAGTTCATTCCACACTGCACCCCTGTTGTGTTTGGTTGGATGGAATAAGTGGGCCCAGAGAGTCCAAGGTGTTAACATGACACCGTCATGGTACAACACAAACATGGTTCAGTGGTTTGAGTACAGTGCCCTGGGCCTGCTTAGTCCCATGGCAAACACACCATTACAATCATGTTAACCTTGTAAAGACATAGGAAAAGAAGGAAAAAGTTAAAGCATTTGAAATGTAAAGTTGCAAGTAAGGCTTTATTTTAACAATATCCCTTATTCCCTTTCCCCTTAGCTATAGGGAGATTTTAGAAGGAAACCCCTCTCTTTGACCGTTTTTTAAACAGTATTAACGATGATAATAACTGGTCTTTATGGGGAAAAGAGAAATTAATTGAGATGGGTTTGAGCTTACTGCTGTTATTGTTAAAGTCTGATCCTGCTTCCTTTAAGATGAAACAAGACAAACACACACAAAAAAGGAGAGAAAGGAATAGCAAAAATAGACAATGCAGCTTCTGGTCTCTAGTGCTGACTCCTACTTGCAACTTCACTGCTGGAGAAACACAAGCAGAGCAAACTCCCTTATCGGGCACTTAGAGACCTGGCAAACTTGAACCAGCATCGGGCTATTTAGGACATTGCTTTCAGCTGCCTTTCTGACACAAGCTCCCAGTAGTGTTGCAAAATAAACAGTCCTGTACAGGTAGGCCAGACTTTTACTAAACGGAAGGCAAAAAGAGATAGAAAAGAGAATAAGGTGGGGGTGGAAGTGGACAAAAGGGAGGAAAGGACAAGAGGAACCAAAGTTGCACATCCCATGTGTTATTCAGGATTTAGCTGGAGATGGTGAAGGTGGCAATGTCTTCTGTGTCTATCTCTCTTTCCCAGTCTCATCAGGACATCTTTCAGGATCAAGATGAAAGCCCAACGGTGTCTTAGAATCCCAGGAGATAGTGAGGGTTGCAACCCTAATGGTGAAATATCACTCCTTACAGTCCACCCATCTCCCACCCAGCCTGCTAACTCTTTCTGAAGATATATTTTTAAGACCCCTGTCAAAGGGTGTTTGTTCAGCTACCTGATGTGCCGCATTTGCGTGTTCTCTTATTCACAACATGCACAGTCTGTCTCTTTTCCCCATGTGTACTTTTAATCTTTAGATTCCAAGCACTGCAGAACATAGCACAGACATGTGTCAGAAAGCTCCTTCCAATTATATATCTTCCCCTTATTGAACTAATTACCTAATTATTCCAACCATTGCCCCCAGTGTCAACAATCCCCACCAAGCCTATAATCTTCTCATTGATAAATTATTAACAAATCCAGAGATCCTCACATCATCCTCTTAAATGATCCCATTGGCTAAACCAAACAAGGTGTTGACAAGCTGCAATGGAAAATGTGTCCAGCTTTCATTGGCTGGTAGGATGTTAGAGTCTATAACAGTTGCTACTGAAATCAGGAGATATTGACCCCTGTAATGTGACAGTATATTCATTTTTGAACCCAAGAGCAATCAGGAATCTCATGTGGTTTCAGTGGCTCTTTTTGCATTTTTCTTTCTGTACGGAGTGTTTCTGTAGCACTGTGTTGTTGGGGAGGGGACCCTTTAGACTGGAGCTGGTCAGGTCAGATGTACGTGTCCCCTCTGTTTGCAGCAGGCTACGTTGGCTGGCAGGCAGGCACTTCATTGTTTTACAATGGATAAAGAATGCTCAACAGACTGAGGGCAAGATACCATGCTCTAAAAATAAACTAAGCAGAATAGACTCCTTCAGTTCTCACTGTAAGGTATTTTTTCAAGACCTCAAATAATTTTGTGTGTCACCTTTCTACTTCCTTTCCATTTTTTCAACATCCTTTCTAAAATGTGGACATCAGAACTGGATGCAGTAATCCCAGTAGTGGTCTCACCAATGCCTTTTGCCGAGGTAAAAAACACCTCCCTACTTCTATTCACTACTCCTCTGTTTATACATTACACAAGGATTGCATTGACCCTTTTTACAATAGCATCACAGTTCAGTTGTTTTTCCACTTTGACCCCTAAATTCTTTAGAGTCACTGCTTTCCAGGATACAGCATATATAATAATTATGTACTTGTATTACTGTAGTACCTTGGAGCATTAGTTGTGGACCAGGACCATAGCTGGCTAGCTAGATAAAAGTAACAGAACACACAGTATAAAATGGACAAAAGCAGACCTTTACAAAATGGTTTTGGACGCCATCCATATTCTGTACAATCTGCATCAGATCTTTCACCGAATGTATATCCAGCATTACAAGTAAACTGCAATCGTTCATTCTCCCTGTAAACTCTCTTTGGAGTCATTAAATTTCCATTATTAATTCTTGGTGGTTCGCAGATTACCTCTAAGGACAAAAGAAACAAAAAACAAAACAAAACAAAAACAGTTGTGATGTCTGACTAAGAAAACACCCCCTAGAAAATAAATGCAAAATTTCATTTTGACATGGCTGTTTTAAAATTATGTTAATCAGGAAATAGTAAATCTGTGTTATATCATAGAATTTAAGTCTGTGTATAAAATATAAAAGCCCATCTAGACCCTGGGATAGATTTCATGAATCTTTCTTTGGATTTTGAAGACATATTTGCAATTTGGGGTAAATATACAGAAGACAAAGTCAGCTCAATGGCATAGAAGCAGCAGCACTCTAGCAGCAGCTTTAAACAACTAACATATGTATTACCAGTCTTCCACATTTGAATTATAAGAAGTAGGGGGATGACAGAGCTGCAAAAGTTAGCCCAACAGTGTGAATAAGCGATTAATGTGCTTGTCACCTGTCATACATTTCCTAAATAAACACTTCATAATCAGTTAATATATAAACAATTTCCTGACTCTGAAAACTCACTGGGTTCAATATTAAATGGAAATATTATGTTAAGAAATCTTTTCAGAAGCAAGTATGCCTGGTGCAAGTACATTGGTAAATCAATCCCATACTATGATCTCTAGTTACAAAACAAATCAAGAATCAAATAAGTGATATATCTGGCCATGCCAATTTCAATAAAGCACGATCCACCATGATTGTTTGAGTTTTAAATACTTTAAGAATACCAATAAAGTGGAAGCATACTTGGTTTTGATATTAAATATCAAATGTCATATAGACTCAAACTCTGTTTGCAAGTTAGTCTGTTAATTTTTAAGAATAGGTAGCAATAACATGTGCATGTGACAAGTTAGCAGTTAAAAAAAATTACATATGGAGTTATCCTGTATGTGTCACACTCAACACAGGGGAAAGATTAATGCACTTCATTAGTAAAACCATATCAGTAACAAAACACACTCTGGCTGATTAATTTTACTTCAGAACCTGGTTGTTTGCTCCTAGTTCAGTTGCAGGTTGAATGGATAAAAATTAAAAGCAACTGATATAGCCTACAATCAGGTGTGGTCACAGACATCAGCTCTTCTCAATGCATGGGAAGGACCTAGAAATAAAATATGACAGGAGTGCTCTGTGTTAAGCAGTATTATTTCAGGAGAAGTATTTTAGATACTGAAGAATGCCACTACCTCCTGTCTGTGGCGGGACATTGAGCCACCCAATTAAAAAATCAGGGAATGGAACATTCCCTGATATCTCAGCATCCAAGGAAGTGGAAAGATGTAAAGTGGCGCTTTCCATGTCCGTGCTACAAGAAAAAGAAATAGGCACATCCCTGATACATTTCATGTAGAATATGATGATGTTATTTCTAAGTTCCTAAAATGTGCTATATGCCTTACAAAACAACAAAGCCACAGTTTCTGCCCTGAAGAACATGCAATCTCAATGCAACCCAACAGTGTAACAAGTCAGGTAGACTTGAGTGGAAATTAGGCTACAATTCTGTTTGATATACAGGAAGGAATATAATTAATCTCATTCCTTTCTACCAGTTTTGGCTCCAAAAAGCCAACTATCTAGTTGTTCTACTGTCAACAGATAGATAGTATTAGAATATGCAAAGAATTACTGAATATTTTTAGCTCTAAAGACTTTCTTGTTCCATTTATTCACTCATGTATAATGTCCTATGTATCATCAGTGTTAACTTTTCAGTGAAGATTGGGGAATGTCTAGAAGACTCTATTATGACTAAATATTCTATTTCCCTAGATTATTTTACTTCCTTTACACATATCATGCAATGGAGATGAATACATCAGTTAAGTACTGTAATTATTGTCACTGGAAATATTTTGCTCGTTCCATAACTCTCCTATAGAATAGCCATGATAAGAGCTTCAACAGTACCTTTGAAATCACTTTGGTTAAAGAGAAATTTCACTAAACTAAAAGATAATTTTCTTCTCACCTATGCATGTAGGTACATCAGCATTCCAACGTCCATCCGCTGAGCAATGTATTTCTTTAGATCCAGAAAGTTTATAGTCTTTATTACATTCAAACTGTACAACTTGGCCAAAGGAAAATTCTTGGTCTGTCTCATATACACCAGTTACAAGGATGTTTCCATTTTCTGGTGCATTTACTGGTAAACACTTGCTCACTGTAAAAATAAAGCTATAATTTAAGGCCTACTCTGTAACTATATTGTAAAACAAATTGGTCAGCATTAAAAATAAGCTAAACACTGTTGCAAAAAAAGAAATAATTCTGGGATGTATTAGCAGGAGTGTTGTAAGCAAAGACACAAGAAGTAATACTTCCTCTCTACTCCACGCTAATTAGGCCTTAACTGGAGTATTGTGTCCAGTTCTGGGTGATGTGGACAAAGTGGAGAAAGTCCAGAGAAGAGCAACAAAAATTATTAGAGGTCTAGAAAACATAACCTAGGAGGGAAGATTGAAAAAAAAAATGGGTTGGTTTAGTCTGGAGAAGAGAAGACTGAGAGGGGACATGCTAACAGTTTTCATGTATGTAAAAGGTTGGTACAAGGAGGAGGGAGGTAAATCGTTCTCTTTAACCTCTGAGGATAGGACAAGAAGCAATAGACTTAAATTACAGCAAGGGCAATTTAGGTTGGACATTGGAAAAATCTTCCTAACTGTCAGGCTAGTTAACCATTGGAATAAATTGCCTAGGGAGGTTGTGGAATCTCCATCATTGGAGATTTTTAAGAGCAGGCTGAACAAACACCTTAAGGGATGGTCTAGATAACACTTAGTCCAGCCATGAGTGCATGGGACTGGACTCAATGACCTCTTGAGGTCCCTCCCAGTCCTACGATTTTATGATAAACATTAAAATACAGAACAATTGAAAAAATACTATAAGTAAACTACATAGTAAATGCAAAATTCAGCTTTATCACATACTCAGATACCACAGTGACTAATATGGTATAAAGTCAGACTGAGAGACACCAGAGAAAGTTGGTACATGGAGTCTCCTCACTCAGCTGTGCATTCGTCCTGGTTGCAGACAGAGTGTTCACCTAGAATTGCCTTGAGTGATAGATGGGGGCCCATCTAATATGTCCAGTGGCACTCACAGCCCAAGCCGTGCTAAAAGGCAACTTTAGTTGCTCTTGCTTATGCCAAGACTACATCTGCTCACAGACTAATCAGTTGGAAAACTGTAGAGAACTGCAGACTGACCAAAACATATCCATCAGTTCACAGTTATTAGCTCAAAATCTTGATAAAGATATTGGACTACATTCATCACTGGTATAAGTGAGCACAATTTATCTCAGCAGAAAGGTTGGCCCATGCCATATCTCTAATATCCCATAACTGCACTAACCCAAGAAAAAGAATAAATATATGTGATCAAATATTCCTTATTACAAAGGAAGCCGTTAGATGGGGCCAAATTCCACCCTTGGATGTTTGCATAGACATTATTGGGAGAGTATGTGTGTATCTGAGACCAGAGTTTTGCCTCCAACTGAGACCAGAGTTTTGCCTCTCTTTCTTCTCCCAACTTTCTCCAGTATATCAGTCATCTGCCCATTCTTTGATTTTGCATCCTATTTCAGGGTTCCTCAAACAAATCTATAAAGATTTATAAATTTTTAATCATGCAGGATTAAGTGCACACATTCACAGGCAGTCATGTTTTTCCTTTAGTGAGAAACCCTTACAAATTTGGCACTAAAGAAATATAAATAGTAACTCTTTCTGGCCAAAGTCACATTCACATCATAACACAAATACTGTACAGGGGGTATATGGATTCATTGTATGATGGAACACTTTCCCCATAAATATTAAAGCTTTACAGAACAAAATTAAGAAGGAGATTATCTAAGAATAACATTAAAGGACAGATTGTGACATCCTTGATCACGCTGAATGAGTAATACTACTGAAACCTATAGGACTACATGTGGAGTAAGGTAGAGCCCTGCAGCCAGACTGGGATCCTGCGGGTCCTGCAGGACACACTGCCATAATAGTGGGAAAAAGTAAAATGTATTTGTTGTGGGCGGGATTGGGTGGGCAAAAAAAAAAATAGACTGGAAATTTGGAGGAAAACACTACATTTCTTGTCAGTTTACCAAGAGTAGCCTATTTGGGAAATTGCTTTTTATTTTGTTTGAGCTTCTCTTTCCTATATGTGTTTATCTCCCTCCCCTCTCTTGTGGGATTTGTGGGGATCTAAGATTTTTTTTGGTTTGGAGCAGGATAAAAATGCCAGAAATAATTCAAGAGAGGGTGGGAGTGGGTACTGCAGGGCAGGACGGGAGCAGAATTTAAATAGTCCCATAGAGGGCTCTAGAGAAAGGTACTAATCAATGTGAGCAAAGATATCACAGTCAGGCCCTAAACAGTTTTTAGGCAGGCAAATATTAAATAAAAGTCAGTTTGAAAAAAAGATCATGTTATAGACTCCATTTACCTTCACAGTGCGGGAGTTCATTGCTCCATCCATCTGCCTGACACTCACGGAAATTTCTTTGGCTGAGCATCTGATAACTTACCAAAAAAATTGTAACCAAAATATAAAACTCTAAAATACAGCCGCATTATGTGTTAACAGGTTATGTGATGCTATTACAGTTAAAACAATATAAATAGTTTCCCCTGTTCTAATACATAAACTAACCCAAAACATTCACCTGGAGAAGGAAACAATACTGTCTCTACTGGGCTCCTTCTCCATTTTGTTAAACTTCCTATTGCTCACAGTAGCGAAATGTTAAGTGGCAGAAGTAAAGCTTCATTGAAGCTTCTTTATTACAGAGATCTGCTAATGCTAAACTCTGGCTCAGCCCTCTGTATAGAAGCCATTGTAATTCACTGTGGTCTTGCAACATTAGGGAGAATTGCAACTTCTAAGCCCAGTTCACTGGTACCCTCAAGCACAAAGGAGGCATAAACCTGGTGAAAATGGCAGATTAAGCCAAGTTTATGGATACTTTGCATTGCCAGAGCAGTGCAAAACAGCCAGACTGTAATGGAGTATATCTTGCTATATACAAGATTTTTTATTCAGTTTACTAAAGCTCTTTCTAGAGAGCTATAGTTAGTCATGGAAGCACATGATGAATGTAGTTACTGAGTCTACCACAAAGTCATTATTTGAAAAAAAAAATTATCTGCAATTACTATAGAACAGGAATGATTAATGTTTGGCTTGTAGGTTGGGGCCTGATTTTCACAAGTGCTGACCTCTGAAAATCAGGCCTCTCATATGACCCACTAAGCCCCATAACAAAGCTTCATCAGTGTTTTAGTTTCTGAGTCCTGGATCTCCATATTAAATATGAGATCAGCTGCAGTCAGTCTAAGCAAATTAGGTGTGGTCCTCAGGAGGACAAAGTTTGGCTGACTCTGCTACAGAAGTACATTTGAAGGTACAAGATTAAAGAGTTATGTTAAATAGTCTTATGGAAACCCAAAGTGCTTTTAATGTAATGAAGGTTTCATCATTAACCTCTTCTAATTATAGAAATCTAAAAATATTAACAGAATGTAAATCTGTCAGACTTAAATAAAAAAATCACAAAGCCACAACTAGACCCCTTACTCCATTAGCTTTTACACCCCACATTGACCTGCTCTAGTACTACCAGTATACTGAATAACAAAAAAACATTACCCTTCATCACATTTGTACTCAACGCGAGCACCAAATACAAACTCTGTTCCAGCAGTAAGTTCAAAGGAACCAAACTGAATATCTCCAGGATGGCCACAGGGCTTGTCTGGGGGGGTGGAAAAAAAGGGAAATGTGTTTATAAACTTTCTACAGTGCTGTAAAGGGAGGTAACTTTGACTCTCAGATAGGAATTGTATTTGCTATATGGGGTGGGATTTTCAAAAGCTTTCGGAATTAGCTTAATTCTCTCCTATTAAAGTCAATGGGAGTTTTACCATTGATTTCAGTGGTAGCTGAATACTGAGCACTTTTGAAAACTGAACCATAATGCTGGCGAATTAAATACTGAGACTATCCAAATTTTTGCTTTCTGAGTGACAAACAGCAAAGAATCTGACTCTATAAAATATTTGTTAATACTCTAAAGGCCTCTGCTCTAAAAGTGGATGCTTTGTCAGACCTACGATCAGATTCAAATACACATTGAAAAATCCCAGTTTGTTAATATTTTTTTAAGGCACAAGGTTTATTGACCTGAAATTTAAAACTTTTCCTTGCACACTTTCAAAAGGATTCTTTCAAAGCGGTAAAGGCTCTTTAGAAATGCTTCAATATGCATACATGTATATTAGGAGGAAAATAAATGCATTATTAAGTCAATCAAATAAATTACATGTACAGCTTGTTACATAGGTGATACATGGAGACAGAACTATAATTATGCATTGACCTTTTAACGGAGGGATATGGTAAATTCCAGCATGCTAATGAAGTTTTTTAATACGTGGTCATAAATTCCCAGATTATAGCAGTGAGGAGCTTGAGTTATATGAAAACATTTTTCATGAAACGATACCTGGCTGAGAAATGGCACTCTGGTTCTGGAGAAGATAAATACACTCCTACAGTGACAGGCTGGGATCCCAGGTGAATGGTTACCCTTCAAACTGGAGCCCAAGGACTTCTTAAGATAGAAGGGTCTGTGACCCAGGGACCTCTTGGTACCATCTGGCAGAGGGCATCGGTGTACATAAGGATTACAGGGATCCCCTTTGGTCTGGTATCTACCTACTAGTTTGCACAAGAGTGTCATGTAAGGTCGCTACTGAAAGCTTGTGTCACAATGGTCATCATGATCACTGCAAAATGTATGTATGGATAATATGTAAGGGGTTTATACACACACACACACACACACACAATTATGTTCTGATGGCCTGTGAGTTGGAGTCAGTCACCAGAAGTTGAAAAACAAGTTTATTTCAGGCAGAAAATGTTTATCTAGCAGTCTGTCTGTAAGTAAATAGAGTATTGTATAGTTCACAATGAATGCCCATTTACAGTCTGAGCTAAATGATAATGATGTGATTATGAAATCTTCAGAGGGGGGAATTTACAGCAGGAAATCATGGATTTTTGGCCTACAGCTGTAGGTACAGAGACTAACTACATTCTTCATCTAGGATGTAAGATAACAGAGGGTTTGCTTCATGAAATAAGGATCACAGACAGACAAGTTTTTTAATCCTGGGAGAAGAACTTTGGGTGATATAAAGATCACTAGACAGAAGAGTATCATGTTTGTTAAGTCTAGGCTCTATTATGTGTGTTATGATTCTGTTTTAGCTGTAACCCTTTGTTTCCAATATTTCAGCTTGCTATCGTTTGAAACTGTTTTTTGTTAAATAAACTTAAAAATGCTTTCTCTATGAACAAACTTAAGTGCTGTGTGTTAAGCAGAACTGTATTCTGTGGTATAACTGGTAAACTGTGTTCTGTTCCTTTTGAAATAGAGGATCTGGGAGTTCTGGGAGTGTCCAGTGGATTTGGGCTGGATGCTACAGGCAGATGCTTGAAGGACTTGGAGGTTGGTGTATGCCTATCACTAACCTGAAGAGGAACAGCACAGCCTGCATAGGCTGAGAGAAGAATGCTCGTTCTGCCTGTGGCTAGTGGTGTCAGGAAGCAGCACCCTGATAGGCACAGTTAACGGGAGGTGGTAGTGAGGTGCCTCACAACCCTACCCCTGGGAAGCACCACAATGAAGTAATAAGGCAGGATCTACACCCAGTTTGCTTACATACTGAGATAGTCACACGTGAGAAGGGTGAAAAATGAAGAAAAAGGTTATGTTTTCTGTTTATTTCAGGTAAGGAAATAGAGTGCAGTATAAAATGAGTAGACAAGAAACATACTCCCAACTAAATAAGCAATAGTTGGAGCAGCAGTTTGAAGCTCATGAATTAGATGATGAAGGGAAAATCACCGAGAAATTGAGATTTTCACTCGTGGAACAAGGTAAGTTATGCATAGGTATAGCTCTCAATGAAACAGCTATGAAGTTGGAGTTGGCCATCTAGGAGGTGGCAAAAGTAGAGAAGGAACCATCTATGGGGAGCCAAAGATAAACGGGATGCAGTGGAAGCCACACACCAGAGAGCACTGGAGCTGGAAGACAAAATTTTTGAAGCCCAAGAAGCAGAGGTCAAAGAAAAGGAGGAGAGGCAAGAAAAAGAGATGGCAGGCAGCACGCTCTGAGCATACTGGACTTACAAAAGCAGATCCTTCAGCCCACATGTAATCCTCACCAGGGATCACACAACTGGGACAAACTGTGTGCTAGTTACAGGGAGAATGATTGCACTGAAGAATATTTAACCACCTTTGAAAGGATCTGCAGTGTACATAACTCTGATGACTGGAGAATGACCATCTTACTCTCCAAACTGAATGGTAAAACTTTGAAGGTGTTTAATTATATGGATGTAAATGAGAGTATGAAGTATGACATTTTAAAATTGTCTGTGTCAAAAAGGTTTCAAATTGCACCAGAGGCATACCACAAAGTTTATAAACCTTTAAAAGGTTGACAAGTTAAGTCACAGGGAACATGTTCATAAAATGGTAGATTATTTGGAAAAAAATGACAAAAAGTAAAGGGGCAGAAACTTATGACCAGTTAATAGATCTATTTGTTCAAGAACATTTCTCTGATGTCTGCTCTAAGCAGGAGAGAGCTGCAGGTGGGAGACATCTGTGGAAGCAGCCGCAGAAGCAATTGACTTGTACATAGAAGAGAGATCCTTCATAGAGTGCACGTCCCAAAGGGAAGGGCAAAAAGCCTATAGTAAAAGAGTGTCTTTGGTTTGTTCCTGGAAAAAAGGAGGGAAGAATGGGATTAAGTTCACATCACCCTTTATTTCATATTTAAGAGCAGGGCCTCACTGGCTAAGTTTCTGAACCATTTACTCTAGTTCTGTAGCTATTTTGCATAATTTTTCACCTCCGATTTCTTTACTGTTTATTATTAGAATACTGTATCCAGTTTTGGTGTTCACACTTCAAAAATGATGTTGGTAAACTGCAAAGAGCTCAGAAAAGAGCAACAAGAAAGAGTAGAGGTCTGGAAAACATGCCTGACTGAGAAACTAAAGAGGCTCAATCTATTTGAGTTTATCAAAGAGAAGATTAAATGAAGATTTGATTGTGGTCTATAAGTGTCTTCACTGTGACAGTGATTTCCAATAATAAACCACTTTTTAAACTAGAAGAAGGCATAACAAAATCAAATGTTTGGAAGTTGAAGCTAAGTACATTCAAACTAGAAATAGGCAAAAAGAATTAAATGAGGGTAATTAACCATTGGATCAGTTTACCTAGGACAGGGTGGATTCTTCATCACGTGCAGTCTTTAAATCAATGTTATATCTTAAACAGAAATTATGGTCTTGATGCAGAAATTATTGGGTTGTGTTCTTTGGCTTGGGTTATGGAGGAGGTCATACCAGATGATCATAATGATCCCTTCTGGTCCTAGCATCTATGATTTTCTCTTAATGATCTTCATGTCAAATTAACTTTGCTACATGTAGAATATTTTGATTGGAGATGTAGACTATCTGGGAAAGAAGCATATTTGGACGACTCAGAGAAGATAACTGATTCCAGATTTAAAGGAAGGCCAAGTGAAGAGAGAAGTAGTCACTTGAGCATGTAATCAAAAGGAAAGGAATCGTGGGACCCCTTCCTAAAAGTGCTGGCCATGTTCATTCTTGGAACAAGCACTATTTAATGACCTTCAGAGAGCTAGTCTTTATTCAGACCGCTTTGCTTCTTCAATGAGCTTTACAAACATAATCTCTTTTAAATGATTATATGATATCTACAACATCCGACTTGAAAGAACATATGGTAAAATTTATGGGAAGTTTACTTTTTAATTCAAAATTACAGTAGATGTTAATCTGACATAATTATTCATAGAGCTGGTCAGGACTTTTCTGTCTGAATGACCTTCTGATGGATAATGCAGTTTCTGCAAAATTGATATTTTCTTTGGAAAAAAAAATCTTGATCTTTCCAAACATTTTCGATTTTCCACTAGGAAAATTTAAATGAAATATTTCATTGTGGGTCACTTCAACCTGAATTAGAATGTTTCAATTTCTTGAACTGACCCAGAACATTTAGTTTTGAATCAGGTCAATAAAACATGTAAGAATGTAAGAATTTTCCATAGGATAGAAATTCTGAATTTTGCTCAGTTCTAGTTATTTCTTACTATGAAGTAGCTATGTTTACCTTGAACAACTGTTAAAAAAAACCTGCTTTGCTAAATGGTCTATCTGTACCTTTGGTGTCTGTAAATCGTTGTAGTAATAATAAAGAATTTTTAATGGAATTTTCTTTCTCACTAAAGTTTAGGGGCCAAATCTTGGAATTATTACAACAAACAAACAAACAAAACAAACTCCAATTTAAGTTAATGAGCATCATTGCCCAAGTGAGGACTTTGTGATGTCACCCTAAATGTTGACCTGAAGAAAAAGGGAAAATGACTGAAAGTATTTCAGTTGAACATATGCACATTTTTCAAAGATACTTACTTCTACATTCCACGTATGGGTGGAGATGTTTCCACACACCATTTGTACACTCAAATGTAACACGACCAAGTTTTATGTACCCAGGTCGACAGTTGTAAATTGCTGAGGTACCATGTGGATAGGATGCCTTGTCCCAGGTTCCTGTAAGTATTTCCTTAGTTCTTCTAGGAGGTGGAGTTTCACAATCTAGAAATTAAGTAAATGAGAATAATAATTATTAAAATAGATAGTAAATACCCAAAAATAATGTTAACAAAAGGAAGAATGAGATTTGAGAGCAGACAAGTGCAGCTTCTTGATTGTAATCACCACACAGAGTTATTTAGAAAAATCATGGACAACTGAAAGGTTTGAGAGTGGTAGCCGCGTTAGACTGTATCAGCAAAAACAACGAGGAGTATTTGTGGCATTTTACAGACTAACAAATTTATTTGGGCATAAGATTTTGTGGGCTAAAACCCACTTCATCAGGTACATGGAGTAGAAAATACAGTAGGCAGGTATATATATACACAGTACATGAAAAGATGGGAGTTGCCTTATCAAGTGGGAGCTCAATGCTAACAAGACAATTCAATTAAAGTGGAAGTGGGCTATTCTCAACAGGAGGAAAAATCACTTTTGTAGTGTTAATGAGGCCAATGTAATCAGGGTGGCCCATTTCAAACAGTTGACAAGAAGGTGTAAGTAACAGTGGGGGGGAAATTAGCATGGGAAAATTAGTTTTTGTAGTGACCCATCCATTCTCAGTCTTCCTTCAGGCCTAATTTGATGGTGTCCAGTTTGCAAATTAATTCCAGTTCTGCAGTTTCTCGTTGGAGTCTGTTTTTGAAGTTTTTGTTGTTGAAGAATTGCCACTTTTAAGTCTGTTATTGAGTGTCCAGGGAGATTGAAGCGTTCTCCAACTGGTTTTTGAATGTTATAATTCTTGACATCTGATTTGTGTCCATTTATTCTTTTGCATAGAGACTGTCCGATTTGGCCAATGTACAACGTACAAACTGGACACCATCAGACTAACCTGATTTTTAATAGAATGGGAAAAACTTGGTACATATCCCAAAGCAAACCAAAATTATCAATCAAATGTGAAACAATAAATATCTAGATACTGGGGATAATTATCTTTCAATACATAAAAGGGACAGTAGATGCATAGTATGGAGAGTGGGAACAGAGATAATTGCTTTGATTTCAACATAAGCGGCCCCACCTATTGTCTTCTCTCCCTCAACCACAGCTCCCCAAGGCCAGCCCTCCCACCACCAGAGGAAAAAAGGATAAAGATACCCCCAACTCCTAAGACCTCTACTTCTGCAGCTCTAATCTCCATACCTGCTACTACTTCCCATCACTGTCTGACATCAACTTCCTGTTTTCCACTGACCCAATTTTCCAAATCCCCTCCCTTAGCTTCACCACACCTCTTCTTCTTCTTCAATCTGAGTCCCAACCTTCCCACTCCCTCCAATACTGAGACTATTTGTGTTCACAGAGAACTGGTGAATAACTAAATTCCAGAAATCCATATCACACCCTCTTCATCCTTCAATCATTTTGTTTTCTGTCCCAGATTTTTGTCTGTCATGACACTTTTCTTCAGGTCAATCAATACGCATACATTCTCTTCCCCACAGCTTCTTACAATGCCTCCTAACCTGTGTCCAGGAAAATAACTTCTCTACAGAGTAGAACCCAGACTATGAAAAATAAGGGGAAGTGGTTTGCATTTATTCCAGTATGATATTCCTGAGCACAATGAGAATGAAATAAGAAGGGCTAGAAAACCCCGGAGGCTCCAGGCAGAGCTCCCAGTGTTGCTAGCTCTTGGAATTTCATTTCAAATCTCATATTTGGTGTTGCCCTTAAAGCCTGATCTCCTGGAGTTATAGGATTACATGAGAATAGCAGTTTTCACTTTTTGTGAAGTTTCTAGCCCTCATGGTTATGGAGAAGACTGGAAAACATGAACCCTAAAGTCTCAAAAACCGAGAAGGCAAATAAAAAGTACCTCAAATTTATTATTTTTTACATCTTATGATTTGTTGAGGCCCAACTCGTGATATTTGTATGCTTGGGGTCATCAGTATGGGCACATGTGCAAGTAGAAAAGAATTAGCAGATTGAGGAAACAGAGCTCACTAGGCTCTGTAGAATATATAAAAGGAAGCAAACTCAACTGCTAGGGGCTACTAGTTCCAGCTGTGCAGCTACTGTCACAAAGACGAAAGGGCCTTTCTCTGTGAGTTCTGGACTTTGCTCTATTTAGACACTTTTTGTTTATTTCTAACCTGCTTGTAGCCTTCTCTTCTGAGGGAACAGACATGAAGACTCAGGGTCAAATTTCAAAAGTACTGGGGAGAGTAAATCCTATTTTACAGCATTGCGGACTGTAACTACAATTGATTTCAAAGAGATATAGGATCTTAAGTGTCTATGTACTTTTGAAAATAGGACTTGGGTGTTTTGAAAATTTTATTCCTTGAATTCAGAAGCTCCTGATTGCCAGGTTCATACTCAAACCACTAGATTATTTCTCTTGCTCAAGAGTTGTTATTTACTTTTTGACTCTCTAAGTCACATGCTCTTTATCGGTACTGGCCACAAAACAATATAGAGGCTGCTACATTTAAAGATTTTAAAAAACAAGCATAAGAGGTCTGACATTCTTCAATCCTCCCCCCCCACACACACAAAAAATCCACAGTAAAATAAACAAAATCCTTCCCATACAATGATTCACAGAGGTTAAAACACAGACACACCAGAAAAATCTACAATGAGGAAAAAATTGCATAGAATACATGAAAATACATGAAAATGTAAAAGGAAATTGTCCCCAATACAACCAATGACCTAACATTTCCTGTTCTCAGTGCAGATATGACTGGACCACACTCAGTACTGCTCTTTCTTGTCTGCTGGATTTCTCCTCCCCTAACATTCACAGAGTTTGCCAAACAATCCCATAGTCCCAGTGTTTGAAAACAGTCACAGGCAAACTGGCTTACCACTTCTCAGGCTTCTTCATGCAGCCTACTGTCATGGGTGGTACCCTACTATTGTTTCCAGATATCACTACATAAAAGGGTGTTTTAGGAGGGTGTTTAGGACACCCAAAGATCTGTGATTGTCTATAGATCAAAAGGCCTTTTGACAACCATTAACACCTTCCAGCATAACTATAACTGCAGCACCACCTTTTTTTTTTTTAAGGAACACGCACACAACGGAGGATTCTCAGATAAAAAGAACTGAACAGTCTAAAAACTCAGCTATAGCTAAAAAAGACTCTTTATGATGATTTGAATCACCAAGAAGAAACAAAAAACTTCTGTAGAAAAAACAAAATGCAAGCAAAATGTTCAGTCATAAGGAATTTATTCCCAGTGAGATTCATTGAGTTCAGGAAGGTTTGTGCAAGGTCCTTTGCACCAATCAAGTGGCGAGGCCACATGCAGATTGGAGGCAGCAATAGAAGGTACACCTTGAATACCATATAATGGGGTCTCCATGCTGCCCCTCTGTTGGACGTTGTCCTGGTGCTGACTAGAAGGGAGACACCCAATGAACAATTAAGCAAGTGGGCAGGGAATGGTTTAATGGGATAACAGGATTTTAGTCAAATGAACAGCGTGCCATCGCTGGTAAATAGTATCAGTGGCCAATGAGGGTCTGGCTGGAGAATCTTGCCTACATGCTTGGGGTTCTACTGATCTAGGGTTACCATACGTCCTCTTTTTCCCGGACATGTCCGGCTTTTCAGCAATCAAACCCCTCCGGGG